GTCCACCCGATCCGCCATCTTGTTTGTTCTCTTCCATGAACTTTTTGAAGCCCATTTGTTCTTTTACTTCCTGTTCTCTTGACTCTTTAAAGTAAAAGTCTAATATGGACTTAATGTGGTTGTTACTACTTTTCTCCATTTTGCTGTAATTATTGTACAAAGAATATAGAAAAATAAGTAATGAACATAAACAATTCATGTTCGGATCTATTTGAAGCAGTCGATGTAATATAAAAAGCACTTGCTAAGTGCTGTCAAGTCGGTTTCAACTCATAGTTGCCCTGTGTAGGGTTTCCAAGGAGCAGCACGATAGGTTTGAACTGCTGATCTTACGGTTAGCACCCAGGTCTTATCCTACAGTTCCATTCCAGAAAAGGCACTGTTGAGTGCCATTGAGTCGCTTCCAACTAGTTTTTTTTTTCCTCAAGTGCTATGGAGTTGGTTCCAACTCACAGTGACCTCATATAGGTTTCTAAAGAATGGCCTTGCGGCCAGCAGTCCAGTGTGTATCCTACAGTGCCACACTAGGAGTCCTGGAAACCCTATACAGGGTCACTATGAGTCTGAACTAAGTCGACAGCACTAAACAGTAACCACCACCAGCCAGACAGAGAAAGATGCTTTCTGTTCATTTAATGTCCCAAGCCGTCATGTAAAAGAAGTTCTGAAAGGGCCCTAGGACCAGCAAGAGGGAATATGTTCGAGACCACCGAGGACAAACCCAGGAGGGCTACGGCATAAGGATGCAGAAAGCTGCTCCTTGTTGCTAGTGCCATGATGGAAAGTCTGTTGGTATGCAATGAGCGGATGTGCTAACCGGTACCCTGCGTTGTTCTCTCTGGAAACCTACTCATGCATCCCTGAATCATAGTCTTGTTTTTCTCTCCCCTAAGAACATTTCCTTAATCTGTATAATGTCAAAAGACCCCTTTAATGTCAGTGATGCATGGCATCCTGGGTGGATGCAAAGGTTGGAGGCTAATAAATACGGAGTACCATCATGTCTCCGGGCTCTTAATCCTGGAGACCATAAGGCCTGCTGGGCTCTTGATTCTAGAGATCATGAGTCTTGCGGTCTCCCTTAATCCCTAACTTGTGTTTGTGTTTTATTGATAAGCTGTATCATCTCTGCTGCCTTGCTGGTGTGAGCTGGACTCGCACAGGGAGAGTATGAGCAGAACTGGGATCCTAATTAGAGAAGCAGCGGCACCAGAGATGGAGGCAGAGATGAGGGCATGGAGAAATAGAGCAGCTGAGAACTCTAAACTTATGGAAAGAGAAAGGCTGTGTGCTGGC